ACCACTCCCCCCCCCCCCCCCCCTTATTGTTGCTTTTCTTAACTGTAGTAGGTTGGTACAATTTTTGTGCCCAAATAAGCAACTGAGTTTAATTCAGCCACTGCAAAATTTGCAGTTATGTAAAGTATCCAGACAGGTGAAATGCCAAGCAGGTGAATAAAACCTCTGGCTTGCATCTGCCTAGCTATTCTCATCACCATGGTTAGCACTGAGCAAGATAAGTCACTGCTTTACTTGAAAGTTTCTCTGCAGGTAGCATATAAACCATGCTGACTTTGCTGTGATACGAAGCAGCGATAGATTGCTCTTAATGGAGTCTAATAGCCTTGATTAAAGAGACTGTTAGTAGAGCTTGAAAAAACGTTAACTGGAATGGCAATCATCTCATTTTTGCTTTTTCACTTCCATTTTATTACCTACTCTATTTGAACTGGGACTAAACATCTCTTATCTGACAACTGGTTAAAAAGCTTTTGAGCCTTTGCACTGGCCAGATGCCTCCCCATAAAGCGGAATTGATGCTAATTACACCCTGATTAAGCTGTAGTCATTGCCATTCAGGAGCATTAGGCTAAATCATTTCCCTGGAAGATGTCCCAATAAAGCAGTTGTCCCTATTGAGCATCCCAATTTATTGGAAGAGGATAAAGTGTTATGATGTTTGATTGTTCTCCTGTCCAGTAGGATGGAGAAGGCTGATTTGACCTGCAATCTGGAGGAGAGGCAATGTAAGCAGGGAAAGAGGTTTTTACTGAAGAAGGAAGCTGGACTTCTTTTAAACACATGGCGAGAGCAGAGCCTGGGAATCAGCAGAATTCTCCCTTTGGGTTTTTTTGGGGGGCCAGGGCTTTGTGCCATTCCTAACTATTTGGTGTAAAAGTGCTCAGTGAGGCACTGGGTAACCCATTGCTAAAGGCCAGGGCTTGCTTAGATGCATGTGATTTAAATGCCTCTGAGGTGGTCTGTTATATTTCAGGTGAACTCTTCAAACCTTACCTGGATAGTGACCAGCTCTCTTGCTTCTTCTTGGGCCCTCTGCCTTCACTTGTTAATTTAGAAAATGAAGGGGCTCTGCTATAAAAGCTGTAAGGTTTGGGTTTGTGTGATCTACAGACCAACTGTTGATCTGTTCCTGCCTTTTCAGAGCAACAGAGGTGTTTTTCCTCTGGGATTTTTTTTTCCTTTTGAATATTATTGGACCTACATTCATGTCCCTCATCAATTTATTTTTAATGGTGAGAGGATACTTTAAGATTGATTCTGGAGGGCTCCAGTCAGGCAGAGGGTACTGTTTTATAAGTAAAAAATAGGATTTTAATCAGATATTCCTGAGCTACTTTAATTAGGATCTGTGTTGTTTCCCATGATACTGTATCTTCTCAAAATTATATGCTGGTGATAGCATAAAAATCGGGGATGATAGTGGCAATGTTTTGCCAGTGTCTTATATTGTGGGTTTTGATGACAAATTTCCTTTTAACATATACCTTTTTGGTTGACTCTTCAGTGATAGTGGTGTTCTCAGACTTGTTTAGAAAAGGAATAGTCTAAACTGTAAACCTATATTCACTGGAAAAGTTAAGTCAAATGCTCACCCTTAAAGTGTTTGTTTAGGGCAATACTATTCTTTGTATTCATATGTGCAGGAAAGGTCTCACCTGGAAGTACTATGCCAAGAAGATTCTATACTTCCTACGGCAACAGAATATATTAAAAAATCTGAAGGAGTATCTTCAACGCCCAACTGATCAGCAGTCATTTTTGGAGGGTAAGTCTTTGGCAGAAATCCCACGTAGAGCACCTAATGACAGCTTTCTATCATTGTTGTTTTACTTGGAAAGAGCCTTCCTTGCTTATATTTCAACTAGCCCTTGGACAATGACTCAGAATTAAATTTGGATTTTTAATGTACCTGAAATCCTTAAAATCTTGCCATAGTTGTGTAGTGTTGCATCAGAATGTCAGGATTACATTAGCTTCTGTCAGTGCTGTATGCTTGAATAATTGCCCATGGACAGATAAGCTGAAAAACAATGCAGAAAATGTTAAAACACTTGCATTTGAATCTTGAACAGTGTATTGAGGAAATCAGCAGTAGCTCAGCGTCCTAATTAGCTGACATTGCAGAAGCGTTTTAACTGTGGCCCATGGGCTGAATGTGGCCTAACAGACCAACTGATTTGATTTCGAGTCGGCTCCCTACTATCTCCTTTCCCAAGAGCTGCTCAGATCAGGGCAAGGAGCAAGCTATGGGCAGCGGGAATTGTTGTTGCAGCTCATAGCCTGTGCGCTGGCTGTGGCTTTCTCTTGAGAGCTGTCTGACTGCTGGACCATTGAAGCTGTGCAGTGTAGAGCTGGGGAATGGACAGAAGTCCAGTCACATGGTGGGAAGGCACATGCACCTGATATGAAGAAAGAAAAGGCTTTTCTGCAATTCATGTCCTCTCTCTGGTGGATTATTCTCTTCTTCAAGCTTCCTATAGAGAAGATAGTTTTCTGAATGGATCAAAAGCTGCCAATGTCTGTAGGAGAGTCCCTTACTCTTGGTATATACCTCAAAACTGTCATATGAAAGAGTCTTTTAACACCAAAGCTGGTTCTTGTTAGTGGCAATAGACTTTGGAAAAGGGACTGTGTTAGGGCAAGAAGGGAAAGCCAAAAGTGGCATTTTCTGGAAAAAACTGAGATGGTTAATTACGTGACCTAATCTTGCGGGTCACAAATACATGCATTTGTCTGCCATGGAGGTACTATTAGAGCACCAAGAGGTAGTCTTTTGTGAAGTTTCACTTGGTCAGCATGGGAAACACTTTGAGTTGGGGAGGGCAGGGAGGAGACATGGCTTGGGGCCCTTTTGAAATCCTTGAATACAGGCCTGTCACAGATGTGCTAACGAAGAATTGTAGGAAGCTGGAAGAGGTATGATCCATGCAAAATTCTTGCAGGTGAATACAGTTGATTCCAAAGGTTGAACAATATGGAGGCTTTGGAAAGAGCAGTGGTGACAAGATGACAGGGAGAAGATTCTGAGAAAGGGCTATTTTTTTCCTGCAGAAGTTTGACAGAAGAGGCTTGGGCAGAAGGGAAATGAAAATTTGTTGTTATAGTGGGTTTCTGACATGAAGATGGAGAGCAGGCGTGGAAGAGAAAGATGAATGTAGCAGAAGAGGGAACGATGAGGAAGAATGATAGTTATGGAGGATATGACAGGAAGAAATCAGAACTGAAGCAGAAGTGAAGTTGAGATTGTTTCAGGCTCTGAATAAAAAACATTGTAAGTTGGGAGGATGCCAGGAGATGCAGTGTGACTGGAGAGCTGGCTGGTTAAGCCTGGTCTAGCAGCGTACCTGCTCAATGTACAAATCTATTGCTTTCCCTTTCAAGGTGGTGGAGAGGGGAATACTGAATTTAATTGGTATTTATCATGTCAGCTTATTCTTTGCATTTTATGTGATAAATCCAATATATGACTGCAGATTTTAAAAGGAAAGCTCTCGTGTTCTGCTGCAATTGCTTGCTGCATGCCTGGAATTTAGAGTAGGTAAAACTAAGCAAAGAAAAAACTGAAGTCCTGTTTCTTATATAGTTTGTTTTTTCCAGGTGCTGTTCTAATTGATCAATACTGTAACCCGCTGTCAGACATCTGCTTAAAAAGTGTCCAGGCACAGGTGGATGATATCACAGATAAAGTGCGCAAAGTCCTGCGGACGAAAAATCCAAGGCACCCCAGCCTGGCTTCCAAGGCAGGTACTGTACAGAAACATATGCTTTACTGCAGAGCATTTCTGCAAGTCTAGATACAGGCAGACAAGGTGAAACAGCTGTTGAATTATTGCAGCTTAAAGAGCTGCTGTTCTTTATCCCCTGGCAAGCATATTCTGACATTTGCTTAAACCATCATTCAGGAAACAGCAGTTTGTTCAGCCACAGGGACTTGATAGCCCAGGGTTGTCAGTCCATCTGATGCTGTCTAAGCAAGAAGAATTGGGAGGGGAATTCTTCCTTCTTTTTTTTCCCATTTGTCCCTGAAGTCTTAAGTAGTCCTGACATCTGTACCAGAGCTGTGGGACAGGGGATCGACCTCTTTTCTTCTGCAAGTCTCAAAGTCAGCAGCAATAGAAAAGGTATATGCTTTAACATCTCCAAAGGTCAGGCAGCATCTTGCTTCTTGGTTTTTTTAAGCACTATCTAATGTTTGCCATCTTTCAAAGAGAGAATGAGCAGTCTGCCTGTATCTGTGTATCTGGAGTGGCCAAGCTGTGACTCTCAAGCAGTGAAAGCACACTTCCCATGCCTGGGCAGTCTGACATGTCCAGCTGCAGTGCTGTGCTGGCACAGGGTGGTCAGGATCCAGTCCTCCAGCTGCAGAAGGAAGCGAGATACCACTGTTGCACAGCTGAGGTGCAGGGCAATCCACAGAGCCAGCCCATGTTGTGATTGGAGCGCTAGGGCACTGCCACGGTCAACTCCAGGCTGTCTCTTGACGATCTGAATTGAGATGAGTCTCTTGTGTTCTCAGTCTGTATGAAGAATTTTGGTATAAGTTTTGTTGCATAAAGGTTAAGTACACTTGTTTTCTCAGTCTTCATTTCTTCGCATGCCTTTTTAGGAGAGGTCCTGATTCCAGAAATGGAGCTTCAGCGGCAGGTGCTTGATGCTATGAATTGCGTCCTATATGAGCAGTTAAAATACAAAGGAAACGAGCTGGATTACTATAACTCCCTGAATTCATACATTCACCAGGTATGTGTATGGTAGGCAAAAACTAGGAGGCTGCAAGGCTTGAGACGTTCTGTTTGTGGTGGTTATTTGTCCGAATGTAGTCGGGCAAATAATTCTCTCTGAAGAACAATTTACTGTAAAGTCAATAGGATGTCATCTTTTAGTGTATATTCTATCAAGTTGGTGTATTTTCATTTGTGAAATCAAACCTTGGGAGTTTGTGTTTTTCTTGAGATCCCACATGTTTTTATCGCATTTTTATCCCCCAGGTTTTGATCCGCAGGACAGGAATTCCCATCAGTTTGTCTGTGCTTTATTTAACAATTGCCAGGCAGTTGGGAGTCAAACTTGAACCGGTCAACTTCCCTAGCCATTTTCTACTACGATGGTGTCAAGGAAAAGAAGGGTAAGCGACCTGCTGAATTTTGAAGTTGTGTCCACAGAAATAAAAGCCAGAAAGCATTTACAACAGCTGCAGATCTATACCAGAATGTTTAATTATTTTCCATCTGTAATTATAACCTATACAGAGGAAAAGATCAGACCTCTAAAAAAGTTTTCCCAGAACTCATCTTTGCTGCTGCTGAAGGGTAACAGATTTCCTGAGTGTGAAATAATAGTAACCATGAGGTAATGTTTCTCTTTCTTAAGAAAAGAAAAAAAAGGTGCTGATTTCACTTACCCTTTCATACAGAACAGTTGCTAGAGGCCACCGCTGTTGTTCTGTGCACTCACTTAATGCTCTGAGTCAGTGCAGAATATGTCTTTGACCAGATCATGATCAATTTAAAGAAATCTGTATTTTGTGAATGACATCAGCAGTCGAATTCAGAGTGATGGTTTTGTCTATATGTACCCCTTTCAGCACTAGGCTTCAGACGCCATATGCATGGGCCCTGTTACGCTTTCCAGTGCAGTGTCATGATATAATCTAGCAGTAGATAGAGCAAACTGAAAATATCTGAAGGAAAGAAGTGACATGATGGAGTGAAAAGTCCCCTTAGTTTCTCTGTCCTTTCCCTTATATGTTTATGTGAAAAAGAATCTAGGAGGAGAGAGAAGGTAGCAGGTAATCTCTTTTTAGGAGGGAGCTGAGGTATGAATGACACTCATTTTACAAACAAGCTTGAAAGTGCTGAGGGAGGAACAGAAGTAGGTAATCCTGCTTTACTATGAGACCCATCACAATTTAATTTCCTTGTTGTTTCATTAGAAGCACAGATATTTTTGACTACACCTACATTGACGCCTTTGGGAAGGGGAAGCAGCTGACGGTGAAGGAGTGCGAGTACCTTATTGGCCACCATGTGACAGAGGAGTTCTATGGAGTGGTGACTTCAAAAGAGGTCTTGCAGCGTATGGTGGGAAATCTCTTAAACCTTGGCAAGCGGTGAGTTGAGGATCATCTGGCCTGTAAGGCCTGTGGAAAAAAGGGCCCAGAGTATACTGTCTGCATATCCAGTACTGCTTCTTCGCAGTATTTGAGCAAGTGCTTTAAAAAGGTGTCAGTCGCCCAGGGGATCTTGAAAATACTGTATGTCACATTGCATTGTCTAGTTGCTTTTAATCACTTGCAGCAGCATTGCATGGAAACAATATTTAGTAAAACTAGTTCCCCTCAAGAAAATGGATAGATTTTTTTTTTTTTTCCTTTGTGAAAAGCTGATAGGGACTGTCCACCATTCCCTTAAGAGCAGGGACCTTCGTTATGATCTGCTAAGCACAACCCACATGCTTAAATGAGCAGTTTCAAAGGTACTGTTGGTTTGTAGAAAATCTGGTTTTATTTTCAAATGCCTGTGATAATAATTTTCCAAGTAGTCATAGACAGAAATCACAAGGTGAAAGGATTGCTTTAGGTGTAATTAAGCTAGGGGAACAAAAGCAGATTTGAAATGGAAGTGTCTTGGAGAGTGAATTCTCTGTAGGATTATTTTACCAAGCAGAATGGTGAAGTGGGAGGGTGGAGTCCGATCATCAGTTGTGTAGTGTTTTTCCTTCTGAGCAGGCTGTTGGATGTGATGAGTGACAGTCAGTGCTAGAGTCACTCTTATTGAATGAGCGTGCCTGTACATGTAGCATCATTTCTGGTGACTATCCCTGTACATCGGAGTAGTGGGGATAGGGGTTGAAGAGCTAGCCTTACAATTGAGTTTCTTTTTTACTGGCAGAGAAAGCACTGATCAGTCTTACCAACTCTTGAGAGACTCGTTGGATCTATACCTGGCCATGTATCCGGACAATGTGCAGCATCTAATGCTCCAGGCTAGGTTATACTTCCACCTGGGAATCTGGCCAGAAAAGGTACCTTGCCACTCGGTTGTATGTTTTCTGATAGTCTAAGTGCTATTAACACTACTCTATTGATTTTTTTGGAATACGTCAGCTTGCATTACAGTCTGCCACAACTTGTTTCGGTAATAAATGCAATTGAACGAGTTATCACATTTCAGAGAATCAATTTCTACTATATGAAGCAGGGAAAAGAGGATGATGCTTGCTTGCTTGCTTGCCTGGGGGAGACTTGTGAGTAGCCTTGAGTCTGAGTCATAATTTATGATTTACAGCCCAAGTCTGGCAGCTTATCTTGCAACCAATAGTGTGGACTCCCAGTGGGAAGTTATAAGAACGTTCTGTTTGGTTTATGCCTAGATTGTGGTAGTGTTGGTAAAACCCTTCCTGGACTCACGCAAAAGGAGCAATTACCTTATCAGAAAACTTGTAGGAAGTTATCTTTTATGAATACAAACAAACCTTAGCCACACAATCAGTGCCTCTTGTGAAAAAGCAACTTAATATTCCTGTCCTTGGGATTCTTTTTTAATATCACCTTTAGCATAGCATCCTGAGTCCTGCTATCTTGTGAATGTGGGAAAGAAGGTGCCAAGACTTAAAGTTGTCTTAGTTGTCTAGATCATCCATGTCCTTCACTGAATCAGCAGAAGGCACAAGGAAGAAGCATGTAACTCAAAGTTTTATTTCTTTAGTGTGTCACTACAGCAAAGAGGTGTTCCCTAGTCAAAATTTCCTGTACTACTTCAGTGAAGCTCACACACTTGGGCAATGCCCGTGCCATTTCCAAATGTGAGGTTTGGATGAGGGGGCAGAAGTATTTGGTTGGACAGCTGAGCAGAACACAAAGCTCTTTCCACCAAATTAACTGAAGCATAGGACTTCTGGAGAAGCTGCCTTCCTTTTGAAGAACAAACTGTGCTAAGCTTGCCGTTCCTTTTTTATGGCAGCAAGTTTTAGGGTCGCCACAGAAAAAACAGCACAAACTAAGAAATTGGGGGTGGGGACACACGACTGCTGAGCAGAAATGGCAACCGTATGTACATAGAGGACAGCTAAATAGAACACTGAAGGATCTTCCTTCCCCTTTCTGGCATTCAGCAGTGTCTTTGTAAAGCACCAAAGCTTTACATACTTGTGTTTTGCTGCCCTTCAGAACAAGTAACACAATCCCATGGACGAGTGTTACATGTAGTTTCTCTGCACTACATTGCCAGATACAATGAAAATGTGCAAATTTGGACTTTCCAGTATTGTGTCCTCATATGCATCCAGTCGTGCCAGGCTATCAGATAAGTTTGTAGCTAGCCAGAGAGAATGCACTATGTCTGACAGAACAGAAGGTAACAGATTTAATATAGGTCTGCCAGATTTATGAAAAATGGTACAAAATCTTAAAAGTCAAACAGAACTACGCAGAATGTTGTCCTAAGTGTTTGCAAATAACAGTAAATGAAATTGCCAAGAGTCTCTGGCAGCTATGGTCACTGTGCTAGGCCTTCCCCTTTCTGTAGGATTTTTCAGGATTTTCACGTCCTTCTTAAGATGCCAGCCAGAGAATTAAGGTGACCAAGAAGCCTCAGCTCTGTTTCTTCTTCTCATACCTAATTACTCACTTGTTCTTTTTCTGAATTCATTTTCTTCACCTTGTGGCTGATGTTCATGCTCAATAGCCTGAGATTTCTATTCCTCTTCTGCTGCTGCTCTGAACTTAAAGTGACCAAAACTTCCAGCGTGTGATCAAGGAGACAATCCTTTTGCCAGGTGCTAAAGTGCGTCAGATTTTTGGAACTGTGGCAGCACTTAAGGTATTTGATGTTGGGACGGGTGTATCTGTCTCTTCCCAACCTGTTTAGACAACAGTTTTGAGCAAGAAAGGAATAAAAAAAGAAGTAAAACTTGCATTGCCTGCCTCTAACAAACTTGGCAGCAGATGCTCTGATAGTGTGCCAGAGGGTGTTGGTAGGCTGGTATTCTGGATCTACAGGGTTTGCTGCTTTGAGAGCACGTTTAAAGTTAGTGTTCTTCAGTTGTCCTGAGACAAGCAGGTTCTCCGTCTCTTGTTCACTCTTGCATGGTATAGCATCATAGAGGTTATTTGTGTTTCCTTCTGTGCTGCCCTATTTTTTCTCTGCCAGGCTCCCACAGACATGCTGAGGAACTCTTTTAAACTAAAATGTTTGTTCTCAAGTACAGCAGAAGTCATCTGGAATCAGTTCACAGCAGCAGTTTGGGAGACTAGGAATAGTATTCTCTTCGCATTTTAGAAACCTTGAAACGGTCTCGTCAATGCCCTGTGGTTGCAAAATGTGATGCGATTAGCTTGTATGACTTAGTTTAAAAGAGTTACTGTGCTCAGCGGTGCCCTTCCTTGGAAGTTGGGAGCTAAATAGGAAAGTAGGGGACTGTTGCAATTTCTGCAGGCTAAGCAAGTGTGCAGAACTCCTTGGGAGTGTGTAGCCAGAGCAAAGATTCTCAGTCCTGTGTGGAAGACTCGTGGCGGACCTCTAGGCCTGGGCACTTAGACCCAGCTAATTTGAGAAATGTATCTGTATTTGTAAGTGTTGGACTGCTTTAAGGACTTGTTCTGAATCTTTGTGTTTTGGTTGCTGAAGGTTCTGGACATATTGCAGCATATTCAAGCTTTGGACCCATCCCAGCATGGGGCTGTCGGGTACTTAGTTCAACATACCCTAGAGCATATTGAGCGCCGGAAGGAGGAGGTGGGACCTGAGGTGAAGCACCGTTCAGATGAGAAGCACAAAGAGGTCTGCTTTTCAATCGGGCTGATTATGAAACACAAGAGGTGAGCTCTTCAAAACCTTCCCCACATTAGCAGGCTGTACTGTAACAATGAGTGCCAAAGTGTTTGTTCTGATGGTAATGAGACGTGGTTTTATCTGCCAAGGAGGTACCTGGAATGGAAAATGCCAGGCACATGCATCTATGCCATGGACCTTGTAGAAAAATTGGAGCAGCTCTGTCTGTCCTTTGAGAGAGCGAGTGTATTCACTGCTGTTTGCTTGCAGAGAGAAGTTTGTGAGGTGACTTGTCTGAGTCATCATATATCATGCAGCTAAAATTTCCACAGCCCAGAGCTCTCAAAGAAACATCAGTAATCAGTTAATGAGGGACTGTGGAGCAGAATCAACTTCAAAAAAGATTGTAAGATACCTAAGACAGCTTATGAATCTTCCCTGTGCTATTATTACCCTCTCTTCCTGTTCCTGTCTGTAGCACTCTGCCAGAATGACATGCCAACACTGTGTTGCTTCGGCCAACTCAACAAGACATCTGGAGCATATTTTAAGGGCGTCAGCAGTGACAGTTGTAATACCTCACGATTAATTGCATAAATAATCTGAAAATAATGATGGCTTTGTTTCTGGGAGTTCAGTATTGTGATTACCACCTCTGTGCGATGGGCACAGAAGTAATTGCACAACGCAGTAGAATAGTTGATTCTCTCCCTGTTTCTTGATTCCTGTTCTCCTGGTTGCTGAGTTCCAGTCTCTTTCCCACTTTCATTTCTTGCTCACATTTGGTTTTCCTTTGTCCTCAGCTGTTTGTTCCTGATTATTTATCCAGTCGCTCCTAGTCATTTCCCCCTACCTCAAAATACACACATGTACGCACAGAATCTTTTTTAATTTTTTTCCCTCTTGTCCTCTCCTCCTTGTGCCAACTCACAGGAGGCTCCTATCCTGTTTGTGCTATAGTAGTCTTGAGGAAAAAGAGCTGGCTCTGGAGTTTTCACAGTCTTTGGTGTGCAATTTTTTTAATTAGATATGGCTATAACTGCGTGATTTACGGCTGGGATCCCGCCTGCATGATGGGGCATGAATGGATCCGGAATATGAATGTCCACAGCCTTCCGCATGGCCCCCACCAGCCTTTCTACAATGTGCTAGTGGAAGATGGCTCTTGCAGATATGCTGCTCAAGGTGAGCAGGAGTCTCCTGTGTTTACTATCTGTTTAGAAGTACATTAGGAGAAAGGGATGCTTAAGTGATTAACTCTTTTAAGTATGAAACATAAACTGTTAGTTAAGGTTGAGGTAGGAAAGAAAATGGTCTTGAATTCATGGCCTGCGTTGTTTGCTCTCCATGAAATCCGTAATGCTAGGAGTAAATGTTAAGGACCACTCTGGTGTAATCTCATCTTGCCCAAGAAGCGTGTTCTGGACATGACTGGTTTTATGGTGTAAACCATGATTGCTCCTTTTGAAAGAAGTAATTCAACTCTTGCTGAAGTCTGAAGTTCTGTCAGCAGCTCTTGCTCTTTGAAGTTATAGCTGTGCTTTGGGCAGGACTTTAAAATAGTATCTAGTGAGGGAGCACAGAGGCTTTACTTGTCAGCTTGTGGTTCTGAGCAGCTGTCATCAAGACACTGTATGTGCCAAGATCCCAGAGAACACAGGTAGCATGGCTTTTAGTGCCACCTCTAATAAGAATGGGAAAAAAAGAATGTCTCTTTACAAGTGCAAAGAGCTGTAGAAATCTCAGTCACCCATTCTTTATGCAACATACCATAAGAAAGGACATTCTTTTCTGATGGTCAGAATATGAGCTTAGGATACGGGAAGAAGTGTCAAACTGAGGTTCAAAAGAAAAAAAAGAAAAAAAACATCTGTCACTCTGCACATTGTAATCAGAATGTTTCTTTGCCTCATGTTTCTTCTCCCTGTGATACGGAGGTGTCCCATTCAGCTGGCAGGGCAGCTCCCCAGCCTGATTGTATTTTGCTCAGAGAAGACATGGGAGCTGCTGGAGGGGAAATGCAGAACAAAATGCAGTTCAGCTCTTTTCCTAGGGGGTGCTCCCTAGCATGTTCTGGTCCCATACATGTGAGCAAGAGGTGGTTTTACAGGAGGGGACACTCCTACCTTTGTAGGTTTAAAGTGCAGGTGTTTCTCACTGTCCTGAGTTCCTTTATATTCAGTAGTCCAAAAAGATGAAGTGGAGACTGGGAATATTGCAGCTCAGCCTTATGGCTCATATTAGGCAGTATTTGACCTCTCAGAGTCTTAAAAAAACAAAAATTCCTGTGCACCATGGATTGATATTAAAATATGTATCCAGAGAACTGTCCACAGTGCTTCTGGGGCTGAGTCATCTCTTATATCTTTTGTCTAATTGTTTATAAACAAGTATAATGCTGGCTGGTTCCAGAGTACAGAGTATTTTAGCCAAGCTGTAGGTTGACACCATCATCTCTGTAGCATCCAAGTGTTTTGATAGTGCTAGGGAAAATTGAAGGGTTTGTCCTTGCTTGCTGAAATCCTGCTGCCTGCCTATTGAGTATCCCTTCTAAAATGCATCTTCAGATCATTTGGGAAGGGAGTATTTCATAACTTACTGGCCTGACCAGGGAGGGGGATGATAGTTTTTTACTGAAAGAATCTTAAACAAATCTGCATGCAGAGTTTTATCTAACCATCTCAGGAATAACACCAAGCTTATTATAGGTAACTGTGCCTCAGTTTGAGTCCTTCTGTAAATTTGTAGATTAAGTTGTATCTAATTCCAAAACACCTGTTTCATACAGTGAGTTTGGTATCTACCTGTCTGCTCTTGTCTTTCTTTTGTTTGCTTTGTAGCAGCACAGACCTGATATCTGTGGCTCAAAACTGCTAGTCAGCATGTTTCTCAGGCTCCCCACCTAGCGCTGAACTTGCTTGTCTCAGTCTCTTCCCCCCTGCCAGTTTCTGTTTCGTCACTGTGTTTTCCCCTTTGTACATAGCTCACTGCTCAGCCATGCTTCTGCAGAGCATATTGGAGTGTAAATTGTTTTCCGCAGTGGTGCAGTATACAAAAAAGGTACTTTGCAAGCCTGTAGGGCTGCATCAGCCCACTGAGGTGTAGAAAGCTCTTGTGCTTTCGGCTGCAGGCACTGGCATACAGTAGCTTCAAAGAGCCTGTATGGATTAATATGACTTGTATGTGCTCTTTGTAATGAACTGAATAGTTTCAGAGATAGATAAATGATTCCTGAATGATGTTCTCTGCATCCCATCTTGATCCTGCCCTGCCTTGCAGATAAGTCAGACTTTGGGGCTTAGGCAGCTTTTGTTTCTACCCATATGTCTGGCACTGTGCTGGAAAAAATTACATCATTTGGGGACTGCTGCAGGGCACCTGCGCATGAGATTTACTGCTGGGCTGCCTCCCAGTCACACTGCTTTATACAAATACTACAGGAGCAAAGGGACCCTCAGATTGGGTCACCTTTGCATTTTAATGCCAGTGCTTCTGTGTTGTTTAACTGTTGTGCTTAATCAGGTTATCTTTTAGTACAAAGGAGGAAATGGGGTGCCATGGGAAAGAATCAGTATGCTCTTCTTGGGTACTTTCTCTTAGCTTTGGGAAGTTTAGATTTAGAAAAGTTAACTGTGCTGTGTGAGACATGCTTGAAAACCAGGCTGGCGACTTGACATGGTTGAAACACAGACTGGTGACTTAGAGCAAGAAAGCACTTGCCTCCTCTGCCAGGAGAACCTTGTGCAGTCGGCCTCACCTTGGAGCATTTGAGAAGGATCTCTCCTAGAAACTGATCTCCCATGGGACTTGAGGGATCAGAGCTCAGTGCAGCAGCTTCTCTCTGCGCTTACAACCAAGACCTGTGACCAACAGAGTGGGAGCAGGTCAGCATCCTGCTACTCTAACCTTATGTCAGACAGTGTGGTCTCAGGCACAAAATAGTTTTCATGCCACTAGTAAATGGGGTCAGCATCACTTAGGAGATAAGACTCTGTGAGCAATCGTACTGACATACTCTGTGCATATTTTCCTGGATTACGGTTGTTTGTATTTTTCTTTAAAGCATCAGGAGGTGGCGTTTCTAGAGACAGAAACAAGACTTGAGAGAGGTGCAGGATTTATTGCCTTGTAGCAGGGCATTTCATGAGGTGATAACTGATTCTTTCCTTTCCTAACAGAGAACCTGGAATATAACTCTGAGCCTCGGGAGATCCCTCACCCTGACATTGGCCGCTATTTTTCAGAGTTTACTGGCATTCACTACCTAGCAAATACCGAGCTAGAAATTCGGTACCCGGAGGATTTGGAGCTCACACGTGCTACAGTTCAGAAGATCTACAGTTCAGGCAAGGAGTGAGAGCAAAAGGAATCATGAGGACAGAAGCAGCTGGAGTGTAGCTTTACCCTCTGCAAAACTTGCGTGGAAGGCAAGTTTGGTGACAATCCTTTGGCTTAATGCATTGAAAACTGCATTGAACTTTGTAACTGGTGCTATAGCATCTTTCCGTTGCCTGCCTGCCCATTCTGGCCCAAAGGCACAGGGACACATGGTAGTTGAGGCCAGGTGTTGAGGATCTTGCAGGGACAGTTACGCTAGGAAGCACGTTGTCCTTCAGAAGGATTTGCGCATACTACTTGTTCCATGATTGTCTTGCCTAGAAGGTCGACGCAGTGAGTTCCCTGGTGTGGAATATGGAAGAACACCCTCTTCCAGAGAGGTTGCTTGTCCTTGCAGTGTTGTGGGTTTTTTTGTTTGGTTGTGTTCTGGGGTGTTTTTTTTAATGTATATCTCATGCAGGTTATAGTTTTTAAAGTCTCTTATGTTTCACTGTTGTCTTCTCCAGTCTGAATTTTTGATCAAATTTTGCTTCACCTCTGTAGTCTGATTGCTCATAGAGCTACCGTTCCAATTCTGAGTATCCCTGCGGGCCTGGGAAAGAGCCTCAGCAACAAAAACAGCAGCAGCTAGGCTTCCAGGGGTAGCAAGCACTGTGGTGACACTGAGGTCCAGTTAGCTACCTTGCTGACAATACAAACTCTCCAAATGCAGAAGATGAGCTGCTAGCCCTTTTCCATGCCTGCTAAACACACCCAGTCCATGTTCTTACCTTGTTTTTTGGTCTGTTCATCTTGTATGTCCAAGGTGGGATCTGCAGCACAGCCGCGAGTGCTCCCAGGACGATTTTGAACCTCGTGGCACTGTTTCATGGAAGCCTTGAGGTCAGTGCCAGAATGACTTTGATGTATGGGGAGCTTCCACTCGCTGCCGTCTCCAATCTGTAGGTATTTATGCAATACAGTGGGATCGTGACTGGAAACTGGCCAACCCTGGAGTCAGCCAAACCGTGTATGGAAGAGAGATGTTACTTCCTGCAGCTCAAGGCCTTCTTCCTTTTTGCCAAAAGAGAATGGATTTTGGGGGAGTGCATGCTCTGCTGCCCAGAGGGAGGAGCTTTAGCAGCTCAAGGCACATCAATTTCAAGATGACTTAAAGGCCCAGACAGGACCACTGCAGAAAAGGTTTTCCTCTGGGTTCAGGTATTATGGGGTGCAGAGTGACACAGTGTTTGTGTATACACAGAGCCTGCGTATCTTTGTGGTTTCCGAAGCAACGTCTATAGACTAGCTGCCACTAGTGTCTCCTGTCACTGTCCAGTTGCAATACAGTAGTTACGTCAGAGATGAGAATTAGGTACTGTGCCCTGTAGAGTTAGGTGGATGCTCTTAGTCTATTATAGCACTTCAGGTATCACCACATGAAATCACACAGCCCTTCTCTTAAAAGAATGCTTGAACTGCATGCTGTCCTATTGAAATATTGAGCACTGATAAAATATGAGAAATAAATATTGAAAGCCCAGCTCTTTTGCCAGCAGAGTGGTGGTGGTGTGCAGGAATCTTGGTGCTTTAGGAAGAAGAGCCCTGTGTGGTTAGTGCTGAGGAATGGTGAAGGTGCTCTACTCCAAGTAGAACTATGTCTTTAAAGAAGTCTGTACTGAAATGAACTTGGAGGGAGGGAAGGAGCTGAAGAATTTCTATGGAAGCAGAATGGATCCAACTGAAAGCAGGGTAGGGAATCATTAGGCAAAAATCTTAAAAATCTGTCTCTTGTTTTTGAGGGTTGGAGTAGATCCCAACCCTCCAACTGTTTTTGAGGGTTGAAAGCAGATCCCAAAAGATTCCTAGCAGGGATGCAAGGTTGGGAATGGGTCTGTTGAGTCACAAGGTTGATGCTGGTAGCTGAGAACAGGCATGCAGGAGCAGGGCTTGGACTCCCCATTCCCAGCCTCAGCTTTGATGAGGCTAGCTCTGCAACAGCGTAGATATCAGTGAGTTTCCTGGGGCTTTATGCTCCCCTCTGCCAAACGGGCGGTCTGTTCACACCTTGCCCCTCTCAAGTGCATCAAGGGAATTGCCACATACCAAGCTTATAGGAGTCCTCAGC